GGAAGAGATTGAGCCCTGGGTCACAATCTGCCGTACTCCCTCCAGTTTCCTTTTGCAGAGGAAACCCTCGGCCGTCGAGCACTGTACGCGGCTCTGGCCAAGCGAAAGAGGAAATGCGATCGTAGCGCACAAAAAATCCTGCGCTGCCGTGTGGGTGCGCAAGCAAGCGGCAGGTCCGCACGCGCCATGTTCCGCGCTTGCGTTGTTTTTTTGTGTGTGTGTGTGCGGCGAGCGTGTGACCTTGCTTGGTCCCCTTATGTTTTTTTGCAAGCGTGTCGAGAGGCTAACCGTGCAGCGCAGCAGTTTTTGGTTTCGTCCGAATGCTTTGCCGCACGCGGCACGCGGCGTTTACCGCCGTGTTTAGTTGTTTCATTGGTCGCGTGGTCCCCCCAGCAAATAATTAAATTTTCTGTTGCTTAACTGAGCTGGAAGCGTCTAGCTAAGTTCGCATTGGATGTCGTATTTTTGGCCAATCGTATTTAACAGCGATTTCCACCCCCCCTCCCCTCCACTTCTGGTGATGATTAAATTGCAGCGTTGTTGCGAAAGCGTGTTCTGCATGCATTTTTTTTATTCACAGGACCCTTTTATGAACGCATTGTTGGGTAAACGTGGAAATGGTGACCCACTCGGCCGTTCATGTTGACCCTAAACAAACGTAATGTTTGGTTATGAAGGTGCACGTGAATAGTTTCTGTCTCGCAACACTAAGTTGGACCCCGTCTCGTGTGCGTGCGTGCTTTTAACGCAAGAGCATTCCAACATCTGCCTGCATTAAATATTCATACGCTCGCAGGTGAAAACCGAACCGCTGGTGGTGTGTTGCAGGACAATTCTGCTTTGTGACCATCGAGATGTTCTGGGGTGGCCGTGAATTTTTAGTTTTTTTATTAAGCCAATTCTGTGTCATTGTCATGGAGCTTGCTTAAGATATTCTTCATCATTTCACGAAAGCCAGGCTCTCTCGGCCAGCAATACCTAGAGCCTGGCCTTCGAATCCACACAGCAGCCCAATGGTAGCAAGTCGATGGTCTCAGCCCGGTCACTACAACAACCCCATTTTCTTTATGCCATTCTAATTCTCATAATCTTTACATCGTAATGAAATTGCTTGTCAGTTGCATGAGTTTATTGCGGTTGACTGAGATCATTCGTCTTCTGAAGTACCCTGGTTTAAATAGTGGGAACGTTCCCTTATCGTATTACACCGTAGCTCGGCTCCAGACAGGCGATTGCGTGGCCATAGGTGTGGCTGCTCGCTCACCGACGGAACATTGTGAGCTTCGTGTGTTGTAAAAGCTGGCAAAGTGGGGATCAAAGATGCAGGGGTACAGCACGATTTGGCACTGGCCCTGGTGCATGGAATTGAGTGTCCCATTCCCCCCCCCCCCTCACCACCACCACTGCTTTTGTAGCTCGATGCCTGGGTCCCTCCTGCCTCGGACCCCGGTGCAGCTGCACTGCCTGCACACTCGATAGCCACAGCAGGGCGAAGACGATATCGGCAGCAGACGTTATGGTTCGTTACCAAATTACGTGGCTAAATGTTACCAGAAGTTCCATGATTTGCCTTGTCCTCATGGTTCAATACGTTTGCACGATTTGATTCGGGAATAGATATACTTCGTTGAGTATTGTGGTGATTGTAGCTGCCGCTGTATTGGTAATAAAAAAAGAACGATTACTTAAATGGTCTCCTCAATCGGACTGTGACATTGCATCATATTTGCAAGGTGGGGTGAATCTTTTCACCCAAAATCCATGAGCTTCAGAATGAAGGTTAATCAATATTTATAATTGCATTTTTAGTACTACATGGCACATAACTACAGCCTTTGACCAAAACACCCTGACTGCTCTCAATCTCGTCAGATCTCAGAAGCTAAGCAGGTTTTGAGCCTGGATAGTGCTTGGATTGGCGACCAGATTATTACTAATATGAGCCAAGAATGTCTGTGTAACGTGCGTGACGTCACTCCACATGTTGCACCCCTTCCCTCATTAATAATCATGAGTGGGTGACGCCACTCCACATGGGGGTAGGGGGGGCCTCTTCCCCCCTTAGCGTCAACTTACAACCCTCCCTACAAAGGCAGAACCCTCACGTCATGCGATCTCTGTAACGCTGTTGAGACATCAAAGTAAAAAGGACGTCGTGATGAACAAGGGATTATAACCTTAACATGAAATAAGTCTGTGTCACCGCGGCCTTACAAATTGCACACGAATTGATGCAATGAATATCACGTGGCGGTCTGCTTTTCGCTTGCAAGTTTCATATTTACTGCAATACACCCGTCCTTGGACAGGGGCTATAGGCTCGTATAGAATAAGGTGCAGGGCTACGTTGTGTGGGCAGCAGGGAGCAGTGCAGAAATCCGTTGTTATACTGTAATTCTATGCTCCCACATACTGTGCTCCCCTCCTTCACCAACGTGCACCGACTAGCGTGGTGAAGTATGGTCAAACGGATACCGTGACCCGCACTGCATGAGGAGGAAGCCCTTCTTCCAGCACGAAGTGAATGAAAAGCACTGCAATTGGTACACTGGGCCTAATTTACGGCCGTGGCAAAATCTGCAATCGGAGAATGCACGGTCTTATTTTATATAGATCTCAAGAGCGATAATTTTCGTTAATATTATTTTCGTCAAATGCCACCCGTGCACTGAGAAGCAATTTTCTGTTGAGAGTGCCCCGGCCCCGGCATGAAGCCGCCTTTCTTGGACACAGTCACAGAGCTGCTTTTGTGCCATATCTGGAATAGGGAAAAGTCAGATTTACTGTCAGGATTTTTTTTGTTATAATGAAGGCTCTTGTGTTGGCCTCTCTCCGCACCTCCCCCCTTCCCCGCCATACCACCACCACCACCACACCCCTTTCTTCACCGTGCTGGAGAAGGCCCGTGAGTGATGGCTGACAGCTGTGACCTCGTATAGCCGTGCGCGTGTATTCTTCCTCCTCCTGGAAGCGGCGATTCTGTGAGGATGGGATTGTACGGGTGAAGGGGGGGTGGTGAAGGGGGGGGGGGTGGTGGTGAAGGGGGGGGGTGGTGGTGAAGGGGGGGGGTGGTGAAGGAGGGGGGGTGGTGGTGAAGGAGGGGGGTTTACGGTGAAGGAGGGGGGTTTATGGTGAAGGAGGGGCTTTGATGGTGAAGGGGGGGGGTTGGTGGTGAAGGGGGGGCTTTGATGGTGAAGGGGGGGGGGTTGTAGGTGAAGGGGGGTGGTGAAGGGGGTGGTCAGGAGGGTCCTTCCTTCATACGGTGGGGAGTTGATGAGCAGTGTGTATATTTTAATGTCGAGCTTGGTGAGTGGAGTAGGCCAGTGGACCGCTTCAGGAGTTGTTGAACGATCAGAGCGGGGCAGTTGCCGTCACTGGTCCACTGTTTTAAATACACGTTTCGCCTCGCATGGAGAGCTGTACATGGACGTGCATCGAGACCCATACATTCGCATAGTCCTGATTAAAGTCCCACAACCCACTTGGGAATCGAGCGCAGTGCCCTCGCTCAACCGGGGGAGGCTAGGGTGGTACCGTTAGAAGCCTTTTCCAGCTGCACGGAAAAACGTGCATCCTGCCACGGGCGCTGCCAACATGCTTTTTATTACTGTTGCACTGTAACCTTTTACGCTTTCTCTCTCTCTCTCTAACAGAATCGCATCCTTGCCAAACCGGCCTTTGAGACCTGAAAATTAAGCGAGGCCTATGTTTAGCATAAAAAATACGCCAAACGATTCGCTTTCCATTTTTGTTTCATATGGTCAGGGGAGGCTTGTGGGTTTTTTTTTTTACAGTTCTTGCCAAGTTTCACTTGTGACTGTAGATTCCTGCCATCACAATGCTCAGACATTGGAAGCAATAATCAAGTTTATTTGAAAACGGTATCCATTGTGTTTCTCAGCTAGTTTGCAGTGCATGTGCGGTTTATCGATTTGATAAACCGATTCGGAGTTGAGATTTGATTTGGAGGATAGATTGGATTGTGTTAACGGTGGCAAATGTAGCATCCAGTAGTGGCACGTGAACCCAGTGTTTACACACAACGTACACACATTGAAAATAATTTATTCTTGCGTGAGTGATTCAGTGCGTTTATCATGCTTATAAGAACTGGAATTCATTGAATCTGTATTTTTAACACACCGAGTAAGAATAAAGTTAGATATTTTTTTTAGTACAAAGTCCCATTTTAAAAAATACCGCAAATTCAAGTCAAGCAAAATGCACAGTAGCATAATGATGGCAGTGGTTGAGTTTCCACCTGAGAAATAAATAGCTTTTGGGCAATTTCATGTTGTGATGCTCTACTTAAGTATATTGTACACAATTCTGATATTGTTCTAATTTATGTACAGTACATGTGTCTTTTATGCATATGAACCTCATGGTGGGACCCCGGGGTCCCGAATAAACGGAAGTCAAAATCGTAATTTATTAATTTTTCGCGACTGGTCCCACCGCGCCACATAAACGTCGCGACCCACCTGGCGCGGATCAAGCGTCGCTTGGACGGATGCGCAGAAGAAACAAAACTTTGAATCTTTGATTAGCGCATCGTGTAGAGCTCGTCGAGAGGAATAGATTGCCGTGTCGTTCGCCTTCAGCAGACATAAAATAACGTCGCAACGCGGTTCATGCGAGAGCCGGGGGCTTGTGGGACCCGTGGGTCCCGCCATAAGGTTCATATGAAGTACAGCACTGTGCACGATCTCGGCACAGCGCCATCTGGTGTGCCAGACCGTGATTATTACGCGTGCAACGAACATATCTAACTGTGCGGGCCAGTGCGTGCGACGACGCATAGAAAACAGAAGTGGAAATAGCTTCCCATGCTCGCCACCATGGATGCATTGTATCGGAATGTGCGAGAATCGATATACATTTTTTTTTTCGTCGGGATCCGTATTGTTTGTAATAAATTCGCTGAAAAACCACTCTGTGCGCCACATCCAACGCGACGTTGTCGTTAACGCAGCTCCGTGTGTTCGTGTTGCTTGCAGCAAAGCGCCGTTTGCGTTGGCGCTGGCGATCGCTCGGGCCGCAGCTGAGAGGGTGCCACAGCAGGACCTCAGCCCTCACCAGCGCGAGGCCAGGGAGTGCGACGGAGAGGGAGAGCCCCGGCGTACGTGAACGCGTCGCTCGCGACAGCCCCTGGCACAAACCGGGGAGCGATTTATTTCTTCTTTTTTTTATTTTTTATTTTCCCCCTTTCCCCCGTGACCGTTTGCGATATTGGTGTCCTGTAACTTTGACGGTATATTTAGACCTTCTTGGTTCTGTCGGTAAAGTCACGTAGAAGGGAAATAATAAAAATAAAACATAATAAAATACAATTCTCACGACAGTTCGGCCACAACGCAAGCAGCCGTCCTCAGGTGGTCTCGTGTCGGCTCTTAGCTGTACTTGAGAGGTCGGAGTGCGGGTTACGTGAACGTGCTTCCGTTACGGTTCACTCGACGCGAGCTGCCGTAGGTCTTCGTGTTGCTGCGACTTGACAATCTGTGCCACTTAGAAATTGACTACAAAAATTATAATGTGATATAACCATTTTCCCGTCTATTAGGCCTTCAAGCAATTTCCAAAGTACAAATTTAATGGATTATAAGTTTTTTTAACCATAATTATGGCATTTTCTGTTTTTTAATAAATATTTTGTTGGGCTATAAAACACTTTTGGAGAAGAATCATGTGAGTAAAGATAATCACTATTATATTTTGCAAAAATTATAGTACAATTCTCGTGGACCTATGCTGTAGGATATACCGTAGTACGGCAACCCTCGCAGTAATGGGTTGACATCCTTATCAATTTACATATTCGTACAATGGTCACCGTATTTTTTATTAATATTTCTTTAACTTAAATGTAATGTTACTATGATCAGTATAAAAAAAATGATCTGCCCAAGTTTACTTACGCTACAGGGAATGTATTATTTAACAATGATTTTATGATGGTGCAAATATTTTAAATATCCCATGCGAGATCTTCTTTTTTGCTCCTATCTGTCTGCTTCATCGCTGTACGTTATTAGTTTAACTTATTTTTTTGGTGACCCAGCTCACTTTGCCAAATGAGACAACCCTGGTTTCTTGAGTTCTCATCTGGTTAAAGAAATCATCTTTAACTCGACCGATACAATACAATAATAATGATGATGTTAAACAGGCGAGTCATTCTCGTTGACGTATCGATTTGCTCTGCCGCATCTGAAATTCCCGGTTCGGGCTCCCGCCTTGCCGCTTGCGGTAGAGGGACAAGAAAGGGGGTTTTCATTTGCAGCAAATTCGACGGTCTCGGCACGGGCCCCTGATGATCGTGAAAAATTCCCACGGCAAACCTTGGTAATTGCGCCCACTTTGCTTGTAGCCAGCGCCGAGGTTCAATTGAACCGGTGACTGACACGGAGCAAATTGCAACATTCGTCTCCCCAGCTAAAAGACCTTGTGTCTTGTGGTGGGTAAGCGAGGCCTGTGGAGAGCCTCCCCCAAGAGTATATGTGAAACTTGCAGTGAGCGCACTTGGGTAAGCTTGCAGTGCATCCATCTTTCCTGGTCTCTTATCATTTGAGGCAAAGCTGTCTTGCAGTCCGCAGAGGATCCGCAAATTGAGTAATGATGCGTTTCTGCATTCAGGATGTGGCCGATTGGGCTATAATTAGTGAAAAACGCACATTAATTTCTTCCTACTGTTGGCAGAGTCACAAGATTGCTGATTTTATTTTTGCAGAAATGTTCGCGGAAAAATGCGCAACTTAGTTCTAATAAAGAAGCATAGTGAACGGAAGTGTAACAAAGTCAACAGTACTTTTGGATAAAATGTGTAGTTGCATACCGTTCTTGGACTTTTTGTCTGAAAGTTAATTAACTTCAAGGCTCGTCAATCATTAGATAACCGCTTTTCACACTTCTTTTTTTCCCCAATTTTTATCCTAATTGTGCTATTGGCAGCAAAGTAATGAGAAGAAATTATCAATCGGATGTCTCACGGAGAACTGCAACCTTTTCATGTCGGAGAACATTCCACGGAAGTGAATATCGCAAAGCTATCTCAGAGATGCCCTTTTAAGTGACCTCTGGTCCACACAGGGGGGCAGCTCTTTCGCAGCTGCTCTGCCATATAAGAGTGTAATGTTTGCCACATGACGAACTCATATTTAAATTTTCAGAGCTAGAGATTTGGCCAATTAAATCTGGAACTAAATGTAACATTGTTTCCTTCGTGCACTCACTGGTTGACCGGGCTGAGATCATAATCTCGCTAAACTTGAAAAACCCATTTTAATCCCAGGCGGTTTTCTAGATTTGAATCCAGGATCTCATTAATGCCAGCTCAGCGGTTTGGCCAGCCATTTAGTTTTTGAAAGTCTAAGCTAATAATTGCACTGTGCCACCGCCGCCATAGTCTGTTTCTTTTCGTTTTTTTTCTGGTTAACAAAGCGCCCTCTCGCAAATTTCTCCCCTTGCAGAGTATGACGCGTACAAGCTCGCGCGCGTGGTGTGCAACTGCGTGCGGGAGGTGTGCGAAGCCTGGCTGGACGACCTCCCACCGTTGCGCACATCGGCACGCCACTTCCAAACGTCACTGCACGCCGTCAAGAACAGCCGGCGCAAGATGGAAGACCGGCACGTCGTGCTGCCCGACTTGAATGCCCTGTTGGGCCTGGAAGTGAGTTTTCTCCATCGTCTACGTTAGCTGCCTCGTGTGGTTTGTGCCAGTCGGATTGATTCTTGGCATAGCATTGGAAAGGCCTTCATCCACCAGTCGATTGGTCAAGGGCTGAACATTGTTTATCAATTGGCTTAAAACTGTTACTGACATAATGGAGAATTTGGCTATTAAAGTTTTTTTATTCGCTTGATGTTGCAAAAATTCAGTGTGGAATACACGATGAAAAAAAATATTGAAAGTGGTTGAACAATAAGTGATCAAAGTGGCATTACCGATCTCGCTTGCCAATGGTTAATATTTTAGTTTATCATTAATGGCCGTTTTTATTACTTAATAGGCTCAAATAAATTAAGCCATGCCACAATGCAGTCTTCATGTCTGCGCTAATCATGCATTTGAGATGCAAATCACTGGCTTCTTTAATATTTTATGCCAATGTAAACACCCCCAATTTGGTTGTTTCCCAGATATAAACATACATTTGTAAACATAAAGGATATTGCGTAATTAGCTTTATTAAGAGGCTTTGATGGTAATTCTCAAAGTACTTGACACATTTATGTCGGTGCACTGCAGCTCAGCTCTGGATAGATATTCAATGGCTATCGCAATGATTCGCACTAACAATATAATGAATGACGAGTTATCGTCATTCATTGGTTCGGATTCGATAAAAAAATCGATTTTTAAAAAAATGTCGGTCCTGTTTTTACTAAAGTTTTCATATGTACCGTTAACCTACATCTAAAATTTGCTGTTCATATTTGGGGGTTGTTTTATCATGCTTCATGATGGTCGGTGCATGTTTGTGAATTTTGGAGGGGCCTCGTAATGGTTCATTTATTACAACATGTATCACAATTCTTATTGTCAATCCGCTGCTGGAAGCCTCTCCCCCGTACCTTGTCGGTCATGGCCATTTCATTGACCATATTTCACCCACGCTCGTCAGTGCGGGTTGGACCTTCTTCTTTCGCACCGTGCTTTGCCGACCGTGCTAAACTAACGAATGGCCGAGTTGACTAATAGCTGTTCAGACATCACTTGCTGCGCAGGGGTATGACCGGGATTATCAAATCGGGCATCGTGTGAATTGTGTAAATAATCTGTTCTCGTACGTGCCATGCACCGAGTGTCTCGTGAGCCTCGGGGGGATGTCGTCGATGAGTCGCGTCGCGTCTGTGTTATTGCAACACGCTGCACCCGTGCCCCGGCCCGCCGCGCGTGCAGGACGCGGAGGAGCAGCAGCAGCAGACGTACCTCGCCGTGTTTGACGGCCACGGCGGGGTGGAGGCGGCAGTGTACGCGGCCACGCACCTGCACGTGAACCTCTTGCAGCAGGAGATGCTGGCGCGGGACCCGGCTCGTGCCCTCCGGGAGGCCTTCAGCCTCACCGACCGCAACTTTGTGCAGAAGGCCGTCCGAGAGGTGACCGCCACCCGCCGCCACCGGCGACGCGAGACCAACGGTGGCCCGACGCTTGTTGAACGTCCGTTCGCATTTGAGCCTGACGGATTGGGTCACTGTCAGGAATCTCGAATGTAGCTCTGTAGTATTTTTTTCCATGGGCCGCTGACCTACACGAAGCATTGTGCCGCTGCGTGATTCCTCGTCCCGTGAACCAAAATGATGCTCGAGAGCGCCATTGGGATGAAACCGTGGATTTCTTTTGCGTGGCGCCCAGAACCTGCGCAGCGGCACGACGGGCGTGGTGGCGCTGGTGCGCGGGGACATGCTGCACGTGGCGTGGCTCGGGGACTCGCAGGCCCTGCTTGTCAGGGACGGCTGCCCCGTCGAGATCATGACTCCGCACAAGCCCGAGCGAGAGGTGACACCGCTCGACCGACATCGTCAAGTTTCGCGTTGTGCATTCGCTCTGCAGACGGTCTGCCGGCACGGCGTAGTCTCTTTCGGCGGTTGACCTCCGAACTCGGCCGCACGTCTGATTGTGCAAAAAGGGAAATGCGACCCACATGACACCGACCATTCGTGATGTCCTTCACTGGCTGCCCAATTAAACAAAAGATTTGATTACAAGCTGTGTAAATTCGTATACGTGTGTCGACACCAATTTGATCCATGCTATCTGAGGACATGTGTGTGTGCCGGTACACACGCACAAACCCACACGTGTGTGCCAGTACACACACACACAAACCCACACGTGTGTGCCAGTACACACACACACACAAACCCACACGTGTGTGCCAGTACACACACACACAAACCCACACGTGTGTGCCAGTACACACACACACACAGACCCACACGTGTGTGCCAGTACACACACACACACAGACCCACACGTGTGTGCCAGTACACACACACACACACAAACCCACACGTGTGTGCCAGTACACACACACACACAAACCCACACGTGTGTGCCAGTACACACACACACACAAACCCACACGTGTGTGCCAGTACACACACACACACAAACCCACACGTGTGTGCCAGTACACACACACAAACCCACACGTGTGTGCCGGGTATAGTCAATTGTTAATCGTCGCCATCTTCGTTCAGCAGCTCTTTTGACCCTGATCGTTTCCGCACACTCGGGACAGCGAGATTTGGCCTTGGCAGCTTCGTGGTCAGCGGTCCCATCCGTCTGGAACTCGTCTATCCATCCACTCGCCCACTCAGGAGTCCGTAGGCTTGGTATCCGCTGCTGTTGCACGATGTTCGAGACTTCACAGACGCCTAACCCGTTCAGTAGAAAATGCGAGGCAGAACTGTTCAGTAGAGCTCACAACGTATGAATATTTGCTCACTTGTGATAACCTAGGTTAGAAGAGTTGCGTGTTTATAAATGTGCTTCCTTTGCTCGGTGGGTGGTGACCATGCGTCTAACAATGCATCAATTGGCACGTGTTTAAAAAAATATATTATTATTTAGAACCCGATTCACCACTACGGCTCGTTATGCATGTTGTACAACCCTGCTCTGAAAGTAAAACGTCTACCTTTCGATTTAAAGCTTTCGTGACTGCAGGGATTCATCTTCTTGGTTCTTTCGGTAAAGTCACGTAGAAGGGAAGTAATAAAATAATAAAAATAAAACATAATAAAACAATTCTCACGACGTTTCGGCCACAACGCAAGCAGCCGTCCTCGGGTGAAAACCAGGTCTGTCGAGGCGACAGCGCCTCGACAGACCTGGTTTTCACCTGACTTTACCGAAAGAACCAAGAAGATCAAACGTCTACCGTTGAGGATGAAAGTTTTGCATCGACGAGTTACTTGCCGTCTGGGATGCAGTTTTTGGTGCATCGTCAGCATTTAACAGCGTGCAATGGAAGGCTGCCAGCCTTTGTTTTTGTTAACTAAACAGCCCTTATTTATATTGGCATTTAGTGTAACAGGGCTAATGTTACCACTCAAGCCAGCCACCCCCTCTTCATCTGCTGCCACCCATATCCTGTCTACTCCGGACCTCAGCTCGACTACCAGCCTACGCAAGCACTGTACACACGTGCTTGTGCATGACTTGCGTACGCGCTCACGGCGTACTCTGCTTACATCACCGCGTTTTGCTTCGAGTGCCCTTTTTTTAATATTCATCACCGATAGCGAGTTCCAGGCCTGCTGGCCTGCAACGCAAGGCGGCCAGTGACTAAGAACACTCATGATAATATATCCTCCTCATTGGCCATGATCAATCCCCTGCTTGGCGATGGTCTTCCCTAGGTGTCGCCATCTCTCATGTTCCCAGCATCTGGACATGAGCTGATTGCAACGCTCTGTCAACGATGGTATGAAGGATAAGAGTTTACGAGCGTAAAATCGAGCGAGGTTATAGGAAAGGGACGATGGTTCCAAGGTTAGGCTGCTCTCTAGCAATGAAGGAACAAGAGATGTATTCACAATCTATCGTTTGAGCATCGTAGAGTCGAGAGGAATCGGTTTGGTAGCACGAGTCTTTGACATTACCACATCACCAGAGGCATGAAGCTTGAAAATAATATTTGTAGTTGTGGTAGTGGCTGTGAAAGCGCGACAAGGAAGCAACTGAACAACAGAGTGCCGTGAATCGTTGAACCCGTGCGCTAAAACTATGTGAAGCAATGCACTTTGGATCCCTTCGAGGGAAAGGCTTAATTTAGTTTATTTAGTACTCGCGAGAAGCTTGACACGCCTCCCAGAAGAGCATTCATGTGGGCGAGTCTGTTAGTGAGTCGATCCCACTTTTACAGATTGGGTCTGCATCGATTCACGATGGCCTGGCGTATGGCTTCGCCCCAAGAAGAACATTGACCCTGGTAACCGTTGTAGTAGCCACAAAAGAGTGACATTGAGGTAACAGAACGATAGTGAGAGACTGGAGTTTACGAGAACGATGACCCTGATTGCAGTGGGTAGGAACCATGGAAGTGACAGAATTGTAATGAGAGATGGGGGGATGACTATGAACACTCGCAATGAAGCTATGAAACCATTGACTTTGTATCCGCCTACAGGTAGATTAAATTTTTGTTTGTTAGCACCCACAGTGAAATGGACACACCGCCAGCGGAGCATTCCTGCGGATCAGTCCGTCCATTTGCTTGGGGCGGCTGGGATCGGTTGCGTTTGATCCGGGGTTGTGACCTGTTGCGCGGTGACCTCTTGCGCACGGCGTTGTCGCAGGTCTCACCGCCGTGTGGGGATTTGCCCCATTTGTGGTTTGTGTGCAGGACGAGAAGAAGCGAATTGAAGCGCTAGGAGGGTGCGTGGTGTGGTTCGGGGCCTGGCGAGTCAATGGCACCCTCTCTGTATCCAGGGCTATCGGTGAGTTCGGCGTTGGCTCCCGCACGGAGACACAAAACAGAAATGTTTCACTCGCAGATACATAAATAAATACTAAGTCTGCAATGATGCATCGATGAAAAAATAGATTCTGATGCTCTCACTATACCTGCATCGAATTGTGTGTTCGTGATTAGCGTTTCTTTTAAATTTGCATCTGTCGTGTGTGGGAGTGGTGGCGCAGTGGTTCGCGCACTGCCGTGGCTAATGTTAACCGGTACATGGCCCTCCTTTAACAACCGGTTTCGGTGAAGTATGGTCAAACAACCCCTGTGACCAACAGGGCATGGAGAGGCCTTCATCCAAGGTTGATCAACCAAAGGGGTGGTTGTTATCATCATCATATATTTTGCTAGATACCAATAGGCCTGCGCTAAGCATCTAATATTAAAACAAAGTACATGATTACATTTGGGGGAAATAATTTCTAAATCGATTACTGCCAGCATTCTAAATAAAATTATCAATTGGCACGTGAAAAACACGCGCGAAACGACGTTCGTCTCAAAATAACAGCGGTGCAACACAAACATCACAAAGAAACCTTCAAGTAATTCTACCTGTGGGCGCGTCTCCACTTCGTGCGCAGGCGACGCGGACTACAAACCATACATCTGCGGCGACGCCGAGAGTGCGTCGGTGCGTCTCGACGGCACGGAGGACTACCTGCTACTCGCGTGCGACGGCTTCTTCGACACGGTGCGTCCCGACGAGGCCGTCGCCGTGGCCGCCGCTCACCTGCGCAAGAGCCGGGACGCCGGCACGGCGGAAGACGAAGGCTGCCGGCCTGCCGGCCTGGCGCAGCGTCTCGTCACGGCCGCTCGTGACGCCGGCTCCGGCGACAACATCACCGTCATCGTGCTCTTCCTACGCGACCCCGGCACCGTCGCGGTGGACGTGGCGGGCGCCGGTCACTCCGACGGAGCGAAGCCGTGCCGTGGTGGCAGCGGCAGCGGTGAAGAAGAGGAGATGGCGGCGGTCAAGGAACCGCGCGAGGCGGAGAAAGGGGATGGTTGCCCGCGAGGCGCGGAGAACCGCTGAGTCCGAGAGGGGGGCAGCGGTGGCGGCCCAGGTCCGCTTGGCGCCTGCGAGTCAAAGAACGAGGGCACAAGCGAGGTTGGGTCGTGGGGATGAATCGTAAGCACTACCCCAGGCTCGCCCCCATTTCTTTTTCTTTTCTTTTTTACGGCAGGGCAATAAACACCAGCAGTATGAGCCGCAAAGTACCCCATGCGCAGCGGAGAAGATGCATTTGAGAGCAGTGTTGTGTGTAATAATGGTGGGTGTTTTGGGGACAGGCCTACTAAAACAAAAATGTTGGGATGCAATTCGGGCATCTTTGTCTGCAGTGACTAACACTAAGAAGAGCATCGTTTCTGCTGGTAGTTGTATTATTTTCTTGGTTTTCATGGTTAAGCGTAAGGTTTTAGTTAAGTGTTTTTTTCCCCCCGTAAATTGAGTGTAATGCACTTACGGCGTCAAGCAAAATCATTTGTGCCTTTTTTTGCAAATAACCGACCATATCACCTCTTCGTTAAGTTTTGCAGTCGCCCAATGAAGTGGGCAGCTGCCTGCTTCTTCTCCAGGCAAGTGGGCCACCTTGAAAGATGACCACGGACAAGAAGGGTAACTGCAGCTTTCGACTTCACGGTGGTGACAGAAATCGTTTTCCGAGGGTGCAGCTTTGAAACGGTTTTGGGGATGGGGAGCGCAGGTGCTTGCTGGTCGAGAATCGAGTTCGAATAGCCTTCTAGATTTTTCTGATCAGTCCCCCCCCCACCCCCCCCCACCGCGTTCAGCTTGTATGTACGTACGTCAAACATCTTGCGCGCACCGTACATAGCCAGCGGTGCTAATCGGAGGTTAACCTGCACTCTGCGCATTCGATGAAACAATTGAGGGGTTTCATCTTCTTGGTTCTTTCGGTAAAGTCACGTAGTAGGGAAGTAATAAAATAATAAAAATAAAACATAATAAAACAATTCTCACGACGTTTCGGCCACAACGCAAGCAGCCGTCCTCAGGTGAAGAACATGTCTGTCGATAAGACAGAGTCTGAATGACTCTGTCTTCCTGCGTTGTGGCCGAAACGTCGTGAGAATTGTTTTATTATGTTTTATTTTTATTATTTTATTACTTCCCTACTACGTGACTTTACCGAAAGAACCAAGAAGATGAATCCCTGCGGTCACGAAAGCTTTAAATCGAAATTGAGGGGGTGTGTGGGGGATCGACTCGCTGGTTAGTAACGTGTCCAGTTTATCAAAGCCTGCACAGGGAGTCTCGAACTTAACGTTAATCGGTGCCAGTGGCAGTTTTCGTAAGTTGCTGTAAAGCTGTCCATTGGAAATACTCACGCTTTCATTTGCCAAAAGTGGCGGAGGAAGTATGGTCAGCCACTTTAAAGGAATTGTTGTGAGCAGCAGCACGACTTCGGTTCTCTGTAGAAATAATTTGTGGCCCACTTGGGAATGGGGAAAACGAGCACTTGAGATGGCCTTCCTGTGCAATTACAGCGCTGCGAGAGTTAATGGCAGGACTTTTGATTGGTCAGTTTCCAGTACACGTTGCGAGCTTGGCGCGATTGCAAACGGAGCACTTAAAGGAATTTATAATTGCCCTTCTCAGTTTGGGGGGTGGGGTGGGTGGGAATGAAAATAATAATTAAGTCTCTATTGATGTATGGTGTGAACATTTTAACTTAGAGTCTCCGATAGGCTTTACAAATTTTATTCAAATCATGTGATGCGTGACCGGCGGTGAATAATAATGTGACGACTTGCCAAGGAAAGCCCAAGTCCTTCAAGCAATATTCATTTTCAAGAGAGACCCTGCTTAGGGACGTTAGACTGTACTTCTCGAGTATTTTTTTTGTGCGCATGTGGGAGGGAAACCATTGTGCCCGGAGAACACCCACCCATGCGTGGCGATAACTCGCCCCAAACCCCACATTCCCCCGCACAGGCGAGCAACCTACTTGCTCTACTGCCGCGCTGCCTGTCTATGCGATCCGTAGACCTCCGACGCCTTGCAGGCTGCATGTCGGCACGGCCCTACTTGACGCGAGCTTTGCGATCGGTCAGGACTTTTATTTTTTCTAATCGTTGATTTGTCTCAGGATGCAGAGTCGGGAGCAAATCCCACACTGCCGCTAACACCGCTGTTGGCACGTCGCGTGGGACGGTGCAGTGTTTTGAGTCGCTCTCTACGATGCTCGCTCGTGAGAGTTATTTTGGAGTGATCGCGCACCTCCGTGCGACGTGAGGATTTTGGAATTAGTTGACAGCCCACGCCGTGCACGGCAAATCCTTTTCAAGTGCACACGCACGCACGCGCACGCACGCGCACGCACACGCACACACACGCGCTCTTGACTGCCATTAGCGGAAGTGTAACTACAATCGTCGGACGTGCACTCGGGCTCCCTCTGGGGATAGCACAATCGAGCCATCTCTTTAGTCGATGACTATTGCTACTTCTGCTGGTACAGGTCTCCAGTCTTGGGGATGGTACTAGGATGTCAAATTGGGAGTCCAGACCTAGATATACATTCAACTGTTAAGCTGTCGCACATGTCGCCAGCACGGCCGTTTCTGCGCCATCCCAACTCTAACCAGCTTTCCTGGACCCCCCCCCCCCCAAAATAAATCGATGACATCTCCTCTTGCCACCCCTGACACTTAAAAGGTGCAATAGGTGATTTGCAGAACACAGAACAGTTATCTGTCCTTCCATTCGGTGGCATCGGGGCACGACTGCCATTTCTCTTTAAAGCATGACACCTCGTCCCCGTTTATTGACTTGAAAGCTTGAAGTCACACACGGTATATTTCTTTTTTTTATGCGAGGGTAAACTTGAATATAATAGATGTAGATGACGTATCATTAGACAGCTGGGTGGATGGCTAGCCATGCAGGTCGTTGGCAAACCTACAAATGCAATGTTATGCAGTTGGCTGGCAGGACCGACGGATGTATTTTCGTGGCTTCAGGTCACTACCGCCTTTACTTTTCATCAAAGCTGAAGAAAATATTTCTCGCTTCGCTGCTGACGGCTGCACGCTCTTTGTAAACAAACGTTGGGGATTTTTTTCCGTCGGTGTCCGTCTTGGGCTGTCGCCGACTTTAAGGCGATTTGAACGCAAGATGCCAAGTCACTTATTGCGCCTTTCTAAGAAAAAAAACGACTTTCCTTCATAAAACAAACCAAAGTTAAGAACAAAACAGTTTTTCGGTGAATGTTTTCAGCAATGCATTAGAGGGATACTTTATATTTTAGGAAAAATGTCGCAGAGCACATCTCTGCTACATTTTGGCAATACCGTGGATGACTTAGGTAGGTAGGGTGCAGCCGCTCTGTAAATATCTGCGCATTTTGAAGAAAAGTGGCATTATTATCACCATGACGATGTAAACCTTGCCCGACTTTGCCAATTCACACGAATCAACGGACCTGCTTGCAGGTTTAATGAGCAAGGGGGAGCGTGGTTCTCGAAGTTCGTTTAGTTTTTTGCAGATTTTGCATTGTGCAGGAATAATGATGTTTTACCTTTCACGTTACAAGGGCTTAGTTGTCGAGTCGGGTTTAATGGGCTTACAGAAACATGACAAACTGAAATTGCCCTCCTACTTTTGTGTCGGAGTGAAAGTGAGTGTTTTGTTAACAAGTGCAGCTACAGATATGAAAGTGAGTTGGTGTAAAATGGTGTACATAAGACAACTGCGGTGTGCAGACCACACAGCAGTGTCAGTTTGTTAACCAAAATCACTTGTCTTGTTAGGTCGGGTGTGGAGGATGGAAGGGAGGAGAAGGGGATGTGTGTGGATGTTAACATTTAATTGCATGCTTTCTGACTATATATGAGCGCCACTGTGGCGAGATGTTAACTACCTCGCCTGGTATACAGGAGGTCGTAGGTTCGATCTCAACCCTGACGCCTGCTGTATATTTGGAGTTTGCATGTTCTCCCTGTGGTCGTGTGGAGTTTTCTCCGGGTCTTCCGTTTTTTTTTTCTCCACATTTAGAAACATGCGTTTTGAGTATTTGGCTGCTATAAATTTCCATATAAGCCACTTCATTGGGCTATCGTTTGTGGTCAGGTCGCTTTGGAAAGAGCTATACAGCTCCGGTGGGCCTTACCTGGTAAAATAAAAAATAGTAAAAAAAAATTCACATTTGATTGTTTGCATCTCAAAAGGGAGACTTCTGTTACAATTTGCAGGCTGTGGTATTGATGTTCGCGATCGCTGCTGGCTTCGCGGAATGGATTCGTTCTTCTTATTACGACTGTTTTTTGCCATTTGTAAAAATTTACATACCGTTGTCTTATTATGCTACGCAGTATTTTTGTGTGTTTATTTAAGGTTGAAAGTTTCATTTCGAATTTCAAAAGTCGGGAGAATTTTTTGTCTGTTTCACGCAAACCCCTCTGTGGTAAGAATTGGGGTCTCTTTCGATGAGCTGTCCCCCCTGGTGTTTGCGCACGCACGTGGGACCCACCTTTCAGGAACTATGGTGCTTCTTCGGTTTCAGTGTTACGCTCTCTTGCTTCGGCGAACATCTTGCACGGATTACCTTCTATATACGTCTATCGCAGGACAGATTGAGCTGCTGAAGCCGGGAGTTCATTCGAGTAACGAGTGTGTACCGCATTCAAGGTTTCAGGACGTGTAAGATGTGTGATGCGTGCAAGGTTTATCGTTACCCAATACGCTGCGTGTCCACCTGTGCTTTGGGCAAGACGGCAAAATGACCTTATCTTGCCTAAAATGACAACATCGCCTGGTCCTTGTTTGTGCTTTATCGGCGTCTTAACGAGTGTGTATAATCCCGTGCTGCCCGTTGCCGTGTGTCGACGGTCTGCGCTTCTTCGTAATTGAGGCACCAACGTCCCAACGTGGCCACCCTCGTGGGGTTGGAGGCGTTCTGTGCCCAGTTTTGTCGTCCATGCACTTCACCCTCGCCGCGTGGATTAAATTGTCGGGAATGAATTGCCCTCCCAGTGTCTCTGCACCCCCCCCCCCCCCAATAATATGGCCATATTCGTTTTTGTTGCTGTTGGAGGTGGGGTTTTTTTGTCATCTCCTTGAATAAACTTGAATTTTGATGTGAAAATTAACTGGGGAGGAAAATAAAAGTTTAATGAAATTATTGCTTGTGGCTTCTTATCCCCCGATTTATATAATTCGGCCTCAAATGTGAAACGATCTTGTGCCGAGGTTGTGACAACGTCATGAACATTCCCGTGCCACCACGTCTGCAGACTCGAACCTCGCCTTGAAATCCAACCCAGCATTTACTCCTCGCCCGGTTGCGAATGCCAGAGTGTGAGGGTTTAATCCGTGCGTTTTCTATTGGCCATATAGACAATTTAAATTATCTTAATTTTGACTGCCAACTAAAATTTGGAGTCGTTTTGCCCGTATAGCTGTACCACTGAATAATTCTATTGCTTAATAGTCCATAACTTCTATGTACATAAAGCACAACACTAAGCTTATATTGCATAACCTTTATCATTTCCCTTGGATATATGATTTTTATACTTGATGCTCATTACAATGAAGCTTTTGGGGTTGGAATTTATGTGTTTTAAATACACAACTATTATACCGATTTAGAACGGGAAAATTTGGTTTAAAATGCACCCACTGTGAGGTCTGTTTCTGAAAGTGGCAAAATGATGCTTGTGACTGCTTGCTTGTTTTTGTGTACTAGTAAGAATAATAAGAATAGGGCATGGTGCATGTTGGCTTTTTTGGGGAGAGTTTGAGAATTATCAATATGCTATAGTACATTAGTGGCAGCGGGTGTTTAATAAAAAAAACAAGCTTATTTATGTTGAATTATTTATTTACCAGAAAACATAAACAAGCCTAAATTTCAAGTGATGTCCTTTTTGTAGTCGTGTCAGTCATGGGGTTACTGTTTTTCCTATTTGTATTTTTCTAGTGGGTCACTCACTGTACTCCTTAAAACGAGTCCTCCTTAACGCCTCTACTGGTCTGAGCTTCAGTTCTTCACAGTATTACCTTCAATTCCTACAAATAAACATGATGCATATGAAACTTGGGAGCCGCGTATCGTGTCCTCCCTGCGTGTCTGTCGCTAGTGTCCGCGCCCCCACTCCGGTCTTGCGTGCCGATTCAACAGCCGTGTGATTGTAATTGTCCCGTGGCTCATTCGTACAAGGTCCCCCCCCCCCCCCCCAATATCCTTTGACGAGGATCTGTGCGGCGTGGTTATTGACTGATGTTGACCTTCCGCAACCATGACCGGCGGACGCGGCGGCATGCCGTGAAGAGGGTGTTCGTGGGTTGTCACGTTTACTCGGTGTGCTGGCCTGCACGCGAGGCCGGTATCCGAAGGCTTAACTTTCGTGACTGCAGGAATTAATATTCTTGGTTATTTCGGTAAAGTCACGTAGATAGAAAAAAGATAAAATTAAAAATAATAAATTGAAAATAAAAGCAAAAAACCACGACGTTTCGATCGCAACACAAGCGGTCTTCTTGATGAAGACCGCTTGTTATTTTCAATTTTATTATCTTTTATTTTCTATCTACGCGACTTTACCGAAAGAACCAAGAATATGAATCCGAAGGCTTTGCGATGGTAGATGTATCCCCCACGCCCAGGGTTAATTTCGAGTTTGGACAGCGGAGCAGTGAGTGATGTAGCTGCCGCGGTTTGTACGGACTCTTTAACTGCCCCTGTGCCCAGGCGCCAAGCGATGAAGAGAGGAGGTTGGAACGACATTGGGGCCCCGTATCAGGATCCGGGAATCAAACTCGTGTCAACTGGGTTTATAGAACAATGTGTTAACTAGTGGGCCACCGCTCTACCCTAAAGAAATATTGACCACAAACGCTTCTCGGTTCGTGAAAGTGGCAATTCCGTTCAATCAGGGGGTGTGGAATCCGGAATGCCGCAGTCTGGCTATGACCCAGGACTTTGTTTTTCATGGGGCCTATGGCCACGAGACCGGCCACTTAAAACCGCCCCGCAAGCGATTTGTCGAACCAAGCATCTGAGCTGGTCCAACGGGGTACTAGAATACTCGCAGGGAACATTTGAGTCCTGGCAACACTTCTAAAATGCGCTCGGTCAATTATGTTGATTGTGAGGGTGTGTGGTGGGGTAAAGTGTGGGTACTCCCACCTTGGCAGTTACCCTGAAGTGGAGCTCTATCCAGTGAAGACCCTTCTGCTAGCATTGGTGTAAAGCGAGTAATTGCAGGGCTGCACCTTTACCAATCGCTTCTGTTACTGAATGGTGTCTGGCAGTGGCAAATGTGACTTATGTGTGTGTGTGTTAATGTGGCCTGGCAACGGTATTTGAAATTCATATTTGGGCCTCATCCCTGCGTTTGTGAATAAAACAAACATGTGCTGTTCTTTTTATTCCCCATTCTGTGCAAAAGCACTGATTTATCACCGAAAATGTTCTTTAATAGGAAAAGCATATTGCGGTAGCAAATTTTCCTATGAAGCGACCCAAAGGGAGACCGGGGCAGGAGAGTTCGTTTGGCTCAAACGTGTAAAAAAACAGAATTGATGTCCCTTGTGAAAAAACACACACGAGTCTTGGGAGGGGGGGGGCAAGCCACTGCCCACCAACTGCGGGGCCGTCTGGTATGGCAACGGCTTGCGGAGGCCACGATTCCGAGGCAGATGAGCCCATGGCTAAAACGATGCCGATGTTGATGATTCCATTAACTTGCCATCCCATTTTTTTTACTTTAACAAATACGCAACATTTCGAGCTGGGAAAGCGAAAAGGACATCTAAAGCGGGTGACCGTGTGTGCACGTTGTTGAACGGGGCATTTGTCTCGGTACCGAATCTTGTCGGCGGAGGGCGCAGTGTGCCGCGGGTTATTCCAGCCACCACACAGACCCCCCCCCCCACGCGCGATGACCAGTAGAGGGGGCAGCAGTGCAGCTAAAAGCCATTGTTGTAACTTCCACGCGTGGTCTATGACCCTCTCAAGCACTCGCTTTCTGCAACCCGCACTGACCAGCGTGGTGAAGCAAGGCCGTAGCCATGGAGTCAACATTGGGGGAGACTAAATCTTCCAGGGGGTCTGGGGGGTCCCCCGCCAGGAAAAAAAAATCTAAATTTGAAAACTATGGGATTGTATTGTCTTGAAGAACGTGTATCTTGGAATCTCTGCCTCACTTGATACAGCAAATCTAGCTGTGACGGTCCCACCTGATGACGGAGACTTGTGTTGCTTCCGAAACGTCGTGATTTTTATTATTTATTTTATCTTCTTGGTTCTTTCGGTAACGTCACGTAAAAGGAAGTAATAAAATAATAAAAATAAAACATAATAAAATAATTCTCACGACGTTTCGGCCACAACGCAAGCAGCGTTGTGTTTTATTTTTTTTATTTTATTATTACTTCCCTTCTACGTGACTTTACCGAAATAACCAAGAAGATGAATCCCTGCAGTCACGAAAGCTTTAAATCGAAATTTATTTTCTTTTATTTCTATGATTACTTTTATTAATTTTTAATTTTTTTACCTACGTGACTTTACCGAAAAAAAGAGTATGAGTACCATGGGATTAGTGGCACACAGCTGGGAGATGCCTTCATCCAGCAGTGGAATAATCATGGCCTCTGCCGCTGCTGTTATCTATCGAGCTATAGCAGCAGCAGCAGCAGAGGGCGCGCTCGCCCAGATTGTTCACAGCCCAGACCCCCCGACCCCGACCACGCGGTCTCCACGTGCCGCCACAAAGACAAAGGTCCCCCGTACAGCACCACCGGCTCGCGGGGCTAGGAGGAGTAGGAGAAGGTGGGGGCGAGGAGTGCGTGGCACGCGGGGGGAGCGGAGGGGGGCCTCGTGGTTCCGTGCGCTGCGCTCCTCCTGCGGACACGGAGTTGCGAATTCGATTTACAGCCGGATGCTCACGTTATAAAGTGGCGTTCATCTGAACCGGTTCTGGGTCTCTCCACCCCCCTCACACCCCCCCCGTAGGTCGACTCAGCCTTAAATGAGGCCCATCACCACATAAATAACCTCTTGTTGTAACAGCCTTCTCGCTGGTTCAGCAGTTCCACTGCTGGATTATTTTGTTCCGCCTGAGGACGACCGCTTGTGTTGCGATCGAAACGTCGTGATCTATTATTTGTTGTTTTATTTTGTTATTTTTCTGCCTACGTGACTTAGGTTTTTTCGGTAAAGTCACGTAGGTAAAAAATTTAAACAAATAAAAATCTACAATTTACCGAAAGAACCAAAGAGTATGGATTCCTGCAGTCACGAAAGCATAGAATCAAGATGAAACGAGTAGCTGGTGCCTTTTGCGCTAAATGTTAATACTGGGGAGACAACGGCGGCCGGGGTGGTGACTACCGACGACACCAGCACGCTCGTGCGCCGCGTTTGCCTTAATAGGTGCTCGCGAACAGCACAGCGCAGCGTAGGCTACACGGGTATCGTTTGCCTCTGTGCGAGGCCGAGGGGTGCACGCTGAGGTGTGGGGGGGGGCAATGCGTGTGGGGTGTGGGGGGTGTGGGGAGGGGGCAATGCGTGTGTGTGTGTGGGGAGGAGGCAATGCGTGTGTGTGTGTGGGGAGGGGGCAATTCGTGTGTGTGGGGAGGGGTCAATGCCTGTGTGGGGGGAGGGGGCAATTCGTGTGTGTGGGGAGGGGCAATGCGTGTGTGTGGGGTGTGGGGGAAATGCGTGTGTGTGTGCGTGTGGGGAGGGGGCACTGTGTGTGTGTGGGGGGGCAATGTGTGTGTGGGGAGGGGGGGTCAATGCGTGTGTGTGTGTGGGGAGGGGTCAATGCGTGTGTGTGCGGGGAGGGGGAGGCAACTCCACCATTGAGCTGTCCATTCTCTCCAGAAACTCAAAACGGCGCCACTCACCGCCCCTCCTCCACGCCTCCCCCCACACCACCCACTCATCTCCTCTTTCTCCTCATCCTCGTCACCCTCCTCCTCCATCCACCCACCCCTCCTTCCTCGCCATCCTTCTCCCCCACCCCCCCAACCCAACCATGCGTCCGTCCACGCCTCTTCTTCCCCCACCCACCCGCCCCCCATCTCCTCCTCTCGACCCTTCTGCACCCACGCCACCCATCCCCTCCCCCTCCTTCCCAGCCTCCCCTCTCCCCCTTGTTACGTAACATTACGTGGCAAGCGGCGTCTCTCTCGAGAATCGTACACACGAAGTTGCATAATGAGAGTTGAAGTGGCAACAGTTTGTACTCTTTTTGAGTTGCTTGTCGAAAACCGAGGCGGCAATTATGGCAACGCTGTGCTGATGATTCCTAACAATGGTGAAACACTGGTTAGAGAGCGTTAGTTTTTTTTCCCCCCAGCCAAAAAACGCGACTTTAGATATGGCCGCAATGTTGAAACTTGATCGTTTTGTCTTCTTGGTTCTTTCGGTAAAGCCACGTGGAAGGGAAATAATTAAATAACAAAAATAATAAGTAATACATGTTGTATTTTTAAATCCTTTATATTAAGTTCACTTGCTTGCTTGCGTGCTTACGACCGTGCAAATCTTTCGGTCGTTTTAACCCACTTCCCGTGATCCAATCGAGCTGACATTTTGCACACAGACTCGTTGTTTATTTTCGTGAAAATTTTTTTCCAAAATTTTACACTTTTTAGGGAAAAATAAATTATATTTAATTACCAATTGCTTAATGGTGGCAGGCAATCATATGACCCATAGGTGGCAGCCATCTCAAGCCAGAGGACGAGAGGACTCAAGCCGCCACGCATATAAAGGATTTATAGTGAAAAACTTTTTTTACGGGTTCATTTTTTATCATTTTATTATAACCCTTCTACGTGACTTTACCGAAAGAACCAAGAAGATGAATCCCTGCAGTCACGAAAGCTTTAAATCGAAATTTGATCGTTTCGGACGGGATTTTCGAACGATAACCAGTAAACCGGTAACCACTTGCTGGCAGTAGAGGATCTCCACTCGGAAGTGGGGGGCACTGCAGGCGGTCATGGAGACCAATTTGGTCTGCTCTTCCTGTGCCGAACAGATGTCTCGGAAGAGGTGTTGGAGTACCCCACGCCTGAACCTCACCAC